GCTCTACAACCTAATGACACATGAAGTGTGTGAAGCTCTACAACCTAATGACACATGAAGTGTGTGAAGCTCTACAACCTAATGACACATGAAGTGTGAAGCTCTACAACCTAATGACACATGAAGTGTGTGGAACTCTACAACCTAATGACACACATGAAGTGTGTGGAACTCTACAACCTAATGACACACATGAAGTGTGTGGAACTCTACAACCTAATGACACACATGAAGTGTGTGGAACTCTACAACCTAATGACACATGAAGTGTGTGGAACTCTACAACCTAATGACACATGAAGTGTGATAAACTCTACAACCTAATGACACATGAAGTGTGTGAAACTCTACAACCTAATGACACATGAAGTGTGTGAAACTCTACAACCTAATGACACATGAAGTGTGAAGCTCTACAACCTAATGACACATGAAGTGTGAAGCTCTACAACCTAATGGCACATGAAGTGTGAATCTCTACAACCTAATGACACATGAAGTGTTCAAAAACTCTACAACCTAATGACACATGAAGTGTGAAGCTCTACAACATAATGACACATGATGTGTGTGGAACTCTACAACCTAATGATACACAGTGTGATAAACTCTACAACCTAAAGAAACATGGAGTGTGATAAACTCTACAACCTAATGACTCAGTGTGTGAAACTCTACAACCTAATGACACACAGTGTGATAAACTCTACAACCTAATGACACATTAGTTGTTAGAAACTGTGAAACTCTCTGAATGAAGGCTCTGATCAGAGTGATGCGTTCACTGACTGATTCTGGTGGAAAACTCACCGCTCACTTTCGGGTCGTTTTTCCTGCGACTCCTGTTTTTGCCTCTGAGCCTGAAGAAAGTCCTCCTCAGCAAATGTTCGGCCATGCTGCGTCTCCTTCTGGTGAGGAGGTAGTGATCCAGCAGGAGATCAGGGAGTCAGTGTTGCTCCTTCATGCTCCTGAGGAGAGCTTTACCCTTGACCATGACACCTTCTCTTCTCCTTCTTCACTGGGAAAGCTGCTCGACAGGAAATGAATTCTTTGCATTCTTTCCCACATTCCCCCCTCAGCTCCTCCTTCCACTCCCCTCCCTCTGCAGAGGGAGTGAGGGCTCCTGGGAAATGTAGTCCACAACAGGTCAAACAGAGCAAAACAATTTGAAGTCTTGGCAAAAAAAACAAACAAAGTTCACGGTTGTTCAGTTCCAGGGTTCCGGCTCTTCACCTTATTTTAACAACAACATCAGACGCTTTTAGTAAAATAATTTTATTTTGAAAAGAGTTTACAGTACAAGCGCTGGAGTAGTAATTTATGTCGGCACAAAATAGTTCTGCGTTCAGTCAAATAAAATGTAAACATTTATAACATTTGCTGGTTGAAAATAGAAATGTAAAAAACAGCAAGACGTTTTGTAAACAGTTAAAGTTACTCCCTCATTATCCGTTTCAGTGCTTTGAACAGACTTGTTTACACCGCAAACATTAACACCACAGAAGAAGAACTTTAATGTTCGGAGATTTCTGTTATAAATAATCCTGAGAGTCCCAAGTTGGGGAATAAATACCTAAATGATAAACTGTGTAATAGCCCTTTACTCACTGCAAAGTGAACATGTCACGAGGTCAGATCAGAGTCAGTGCAAACCAGTCGCACCTGACGGGAACAGGTAGGCCAATCAGAAGTCAGGTGGGCGTGGCATTGAGGTGCTTTTGATGGTTTTGGAAAAACTCCAGCTTCGATTTATTAAGAGTTCTACGAACTCTGTGACGCGACACAAAGGTTCCCGACTGGTCCTGTCAGCGGCAGACGTGTAATTGGACGGTTCCTGATGTTTCCGTGAGGACGGGGCAGATCCTGGTGACTCGTCCCGTACCTTCAGCTGCGGTCACAGACCCATGATGTGGCTGATATGACCCTGAAATCAAAGAGTCGCTTTAAAGACTCAAAGTAAACTTTACCCTGGGCCAATCAGGAAGCACTGCAACAAACTATGGAGAAACATTTAAATCAAAATCAAATAAATAAACAAATATTCCATCAAATAAATAAAC